GTGCTTGTGGGTGCGCCATCCTCCCGTGTCACGTGCTTGTTGTGGGTGCGCCATCCTCCCGTGTCACGTGCTTGTTGTGGGTGCTCCATCCTCCCCTGTCACGTGCTTGTCGTGGGTGCGCCATCCTCCCGTGTCAGGTGCTTGTTGTGGGTGCGCCATCCTCCCGTGTCACAGACATGAGAGAGAAGGGGCTGTGCTTTTCCCACATAATGTTATCACACCTATTTACTTTCTTCTACATTGATTTCTTAATTATAAATGCCCACAGATTATTTCTTTATTTTGATGAGCCGTAATTTTTTAAATCCCCTTGTAATTGGGAGTTACTTCTTTTTTTTTTATAATTTTATTTATTTTTTTCCCCAAAACCCCAGTAGATAGTTGTATGTCATAGCTGCACATCCTTCTAGTTGCTGTATGTGGGACGCGGCCTCAGCATGGCCATAGAATCGGTGCGTCGGTGCACGCCCGGGATCTGAACCCGGGCCGCCAGCAGCAGAGTGCGCACACTTAACCGCTAAGCCACAGGGCCGGCCCGGGAGTTACTTCTTAACTCAGTAGTTTCTCATTTCTCCATACAATATGTAGAGGAGACTTTAACCTAGCAAAACCCATTTCACAGATGAGGATACTAAGGTTTTCCCAGGTTGAATGACTCACCTCAGATTATACAGCCAGGTAGTAGTGGGGGCAGGTTGCAGCTTAGAGCACATCCCTTCACTCCTGAAATGTTCCTGAGCTCCTACTCTCTGTAGGACGCTGGGCCACTAGCTGTGGGGAGCAAAGTGGAAGAGGCCCATGCTCTCATCAAGCTTGAATTCTGAACTGGGTAGGAGCATGATAATAAACCAGTAAATAGAACTTGATAAGATAGCTGTAGATTCTAAGAGGTGATGCAAAGGGACAACAGCATGATGAGAGCTAATGGGGGCCACTGCGAAGGCCTCGAGCTCAGGCTTGAAGGATAAGAGCGAGGGGAGCTGAGAGACAGGTGAGCGGCAGGTGCAGCAGTGTCTGGGTCAGATAAGTGCGCAGTACATGTTGTTAGATGAGGCTGGTGAGGAAGACCAGGTGCTACCAGCCTTGAGCTCCCTGGCAATGAGCACACGCTGTATCCTCGGTCCAGGGACACCAGCAGAAGGTTTTAGGTGGGGTGGTGTCACGATCTGAGGTCAAGGCTGAGGGGTTCTCCTCTGTCCTGTCAGCTTTCTAGTTGGGAAACTTGTGTTTCACGGCTACAGCTGGTGTTCCTAAGGGTCTGGCTGTCTTTAGATGGCCACT